AAGATGAGTCTGCATAAAAGTTTATTGGCATCTGAGCTTGATCACAATATAACACTATAACAGTTACATGTAACCGAGAGCTCATTACACTATGCCTGTTGTTACAAAGCATCCTTAGAATTCACCACAAAATAACAATTATGTGAAGACGGTTAAAAGTACTATAGGGCTGTTCTTAAAAGGTTTATAACTCTTTGAAAAATGAAATAAAATACTATATATATCAAAAAATAATGTATATATATATATATACAAAGGAACCAGGGATGTTGTATGTATAGTTTTTTGTGGTGATCTTCACAATCTAAGCAAATAATTACAATAGAATAACCCTTACTTTCTACCAAAAATTAATATGAGTATTGATATAAAAATTATATTAAAGACACAGTACATCTCTATCCTTATCAGACACAATGACAGTATTATTAGATGTGATAACAATATTATTATATACAAAAACAATATCATTATTCTTAAGTATATTGTTAAATGTGTATAAAATCATTAGAATTCTTAAATTTCTTAATTTTCAATTCAAATATAAACTTTAGGCTTCAAATTTACATTTTTTAAATTGTAAAATAAAATAAAAATAAATATATGAAACCAAAAAAATCAAGAATAAAATAAAATAAAATAATACAAAATAAAATAAAATAACTTTCCCTTTACATAAAAGCCAGGATAAATCAAGGTCGGTATTCAGGCCTCGAGGGGTAGAGGATTTCATTTTATAGATCCATTCTGTTTCCCTTCTTGCTAAGGTCTTAGTAGTATCGCCACCTCGCCAATGTGGAACAACTAAATCCATACCTATACAGACAAAGTTATTAGGAGTAAAGACAGAACAACTATTACAATGTCGAGGCACACTATGTTTTTCACTTTTCTTTTTTATACCATAAAGATGTTCTATTAATCTCTCATGTAATCTACGAATAGTACGACCTATATATTGCATTCCACATGCACATTCTAAAAGATATACCACATTCTTACTACTACACGTTATAAAATGTTTTATCATAAACTTTTCACCTGTAACGGTACTCTTAAAAGTGGTGGTGGTTCTTTTTTGGAACTTGCAGGTACTACAATTTCCACATTTATAAAAGCCATTGGGTCTCTTCCCCAGAAAAGTTTCCTGTTTTTTATTTGAACTTACTTTCAGAAGAATACTGGGTGCTAAGATTGTTTTTAAACTATCAGTTTTCTTATATACAATTTTTGGCTTTTCTGATAATATTTTATGCAAATGGATATCCTGCAATAAAATCGGCCAATGTTTTCTAAGAATTTTATCCATCTTATTCGCTTTATTATTATATTTCGTAATAAATGCCATATCGAATGTGTTTTTCTCAGGTTTAGCGATTCTCTGTTTTACTTGTAAAAATTCTTCCCTTTTTCTATTTTCAACTTCTTTCTGACTTCTTTCAAGTAGCTCTTTAGGATAATTTCTGTCTAGAAATCTTTTATTAAGGATCTGGACCTGATTATCAAAATCTGTCTGATTTGTACAGTTTTTAAACAACCTAGTTTGCTGACTTTTAGGGATATTTTTCAACCATATAGGTTTAGTATCTGGATCCACCTCTTTTTTATATAAGAACCAGTGTAAGCTGAGGGACCTGAACGTTGGTCCAAATATTTTGAAAGAAGCCCCTGGATTCCCACAAATGTGCATTACTTGTGAAAGATACAAAGGCAAAGTGAGGCCTTAGAAGGAACGTAATCGTAGTGAGTAAGATTAATGATACCTGATACTGAAATGTCGGGGACCAGGTAGCCTGTTGGTTTGTTGATGGCGTAGTGAATCTGCTACTTGGTGCGGGTCTAAGTAATGATATGTAGAAATGATAAACAAATTTAACACATTAATATAATAGTAACATGGAGGGTGAGGCATCTTTAGACCTGGTGTGTTTGAAGTTAGAACCCACTGTGGGAGGTGGGAGGGGATAGTAAAAAAGGCCGTGGAGGCTGAATGAGGCCTCAGGAGAAACGTAAAAATGTTAACCTTTTTCTACCTGATACCGTGAGACGGGATACAGGAACCACCTCCTGGAGTTTTCTTGAAGAAGAGTAGTAGAACCTAAAACACATTCATTATTTAAAAATAAGGAACCAGAGTATAGTGTTTTTAATATAAATAGACATTTTAGAAATAAGAGCTAATGAACAAATTGAGCGTGGAGCTGGATAAATTTAAGCGGTTTGATGGGCTTGACCTATTGACATCAAAACAGCGTAAGGGGGCCAACTGTGTCTTTAAGAGAATGCCCCTGGGAATTTGTATGCATAATTAAATGTGACTATCGGTGATGAACAGTGACACTCTGATTTAAGGAAAACGTGGGGAGAACTGTGTAAACATGTTTTTTATAAAAGGAACAAATTTGAGGAACATACTTAAAATTATACAAATAACTGCAAAGAACCTCATGCGTACGGATAATGAAAGTGCAAGAGGGATATAACAGGGCCGCATGTGATAGATTAGGAAAAAATAAAAGGTAGTAAAACAGTCGTTCGTACGTGTTTCGGCTAATGACGTATGTAAGAAACAGGCGAACGTAGATGAGTATAAGAAAACAAAAGAAAAACGAACGAGTGTGTACTCTGCGGTTGGCTAATAGCCGCACGAATGCAGAAGTACACGAACAGCAGAATTATACGAATGGGTAAGTAATATAGGGAGCCCATCCCCGCATTTTTAGGCCCGACCGTGGGAAATAGCCAAACACTATTTCCCACGTTGATGCTTACGTGTGCGTGCCGGTCCCATGACTGGAAGCAAGAAAGCCGGGTAACGAGTAAGGAATACAGCGGGGCAGCCGGTGGACGAGCCCAGAGGTCGGCGGCAGGAGCTGCTGAAGACAGAGTGTTTGTTCGAGGCAGGACTGCCGGGAACAATGACCGGAAGTGCAGGTAACTAACAGCTGTGACAAACAGCTTGCACGACAAAGGTAAGTGGGGGGGTAGGGTTTATATAGGATATAGGATCATAACTCCTCCCACAAATTCAGGCTAAATGGCCTTCCAACATATAGAAAATCCAGTGCTTGCACTCATGTTAAAAGATAATCGGCCTGGTGCTGGTCAGCAATAAATATAAAATAAGTAGTGTAAAGATAGCACTCCAAGGACTTCAGAAATATGGTCAGACAAAAGTTCCATTAGTGAACTGAAATGTTGATCCATCTAGGCTGATGCCTGAATAAAGATATGTTTTTTTCACCATATTTCTGAAATCCTTGGAGTGCAATCTTTACACTACTTATTATATATATATATATATATATATATATATACACACACATACATACACACACACTTATTATGTGTGCAAATATATATATATATATATATATATATATATATATATATACACACACACAAACATATATATATATTTGTGGTGTGCCAGAACCAACAAAGCAGTAGGCCTGTAATAAAAGTTGGCCCACCTTAGAGGGTGTTATGAATAGAGGGAGTGGTGGGAGGGTTGACTCGCCACACCAGCAATGGTAAGGTGGGAGTGGATTGGCAGCCCTTTTAAAGGGGAACCAAGCCTCTCCCACAGCTACAGGCCAAGCCTTCAAATTTGTAGTCGGGGTAATATGGCCGAACACAAAAATCTTAGCATATTTTAAACATAGCATCCACGAGTTAGCACCAGTCGGTTGTGGTGTGCCAGAACTGACAAAGCAGTAGGCCTATAATAAAAGTGGGCAAAAGAAAATTACCAGGAAACATAATTCGTGAACCAACTTCCTTTATTGAGATAAGTCACAGAAAGCTTGTCTTAATTCTTTAATGGGATTAGGTATGTAGAGTGTGAAGGCGTAGGATTTCCAGCGTCCCATAGCCTTAATAATGTGAGCGGGTATATTATTAGCGGATGCTGAAGATGGGGTTTAGGCCGAGCCTGGTCAACAGTAGTCGTACGTAAAGCATGAATTTAGCTGTGGTCAGAGTGTGTCCATGCAGTTTGAACAAAGGCTGTTGAGGTTGTTTTTGGACTGAAAGGGAATAAGTATCCAAAACTTGTACTGGGCACCATTTATTGTGAGTAGGGTACAGAGGAATTTGAATAGTACGTCCTTCGGTGCTGTTTTTTGATTGTCTTAAGGATAGAATGTAATGGTCAGTATGTTTTTGTAAATCATTAGTCCTTAGGTAGTCGTGGGCTGGAATGGTCATAGTTGTAAATTCACTGGGACGTAGGAACCCATAAAAAGCGAGATATAGGGCTGTCTTTATTATGTTATTGGTCATGGGTTCATAAGGAGAAGAATCTAATAAGTTGGATAGAGAGTGAATTTTGGATAGAGAGTGAAAATTTTTGTTGTCTATGGGTAGTCTTTGTGAGGGAACATGTGTATCTAATTTTTTAATGCCTTTAAGTACTGTTTTTATTTGATATGATGTCAAGAAGCCAGTAATGTTAGGTTGTCGGAAAGGCATATGGTGCTGGATGCCAGTAAAATACAGTTTAATAGTATTAAAGGATAGTTTAAGGTTGATATGGCAAAAAGAAGTAAAACCTAATATTGTTTCTAAAGCAAACATGTCGTGGATGTGAGATTTGGTGATAAATTTCGTGAATACGTGAAAAGCCCTATCATAAGTGTTTCTAGTGTTTACTCAGGGTGCCAGTTGAGAAATGTGACGTGCATGATCTAACAAAGTCTTTAATCCATTATCATGTCTTGGAATAGTGGTGCAGGTGTCGCTCATCTGGAAGTGATGGGTAGTGTCGAGAAGAAAGCCTGGAAACGAAACGGGTGAAGAAATACATTCCCTGGCATTTAATGCCGTGTAAATGCCATAGGGAAGGGTGCATGAGTAGTAATTTAAAAGCGTTTACCACGTCGGTTTTACTTAGCCATGCCCCTGTGCCAGCTTGAAGAATGACCACTATGGCATGGTCGATAGTGGCGTAGTGTAGTGAAAATTCTTCGGTAGGTAGTAGTGAGTTAAGGCTGGGGACAGTGGAGGAATGTGGTGCAGATAAAGCAATTATCAGTCTGGGTTTGAGTGAAGTCTTCCCTGTGACCACCCCTATGGGATTGGTTCTCCAAGATGTGAAGGGTGGGGAAAAGAATGGCCCCAACAGAAACCCTTGTTTCACCTCGGTCGTGATAAGAGTGTTTACCAACTGTGGATCGTCTAACGTGGATTGTAGGTTGTCGCATTCCAGTGTACCAGAGAGTAAATGGACCAACCCGGTGTGAAATCCTTCAGTCATTCCCGTGATAATATAGTCAATGAAATGGCGTGATGGGTGTAGCTGTAATAGCGAGGTCAATAATGTGATGTTCACACACGTGTGATATGGTTTGGGGAATGCTTTATTCGGGCACATAGTCTTGGCATGGGCCCTGAAACAGTGGGAACATACATGCATCAGCCTGCAAGAGCTGAAACCACAATTCCCCACATTAAAGTTGTTGCAAATCTGGGATTTACCTAGAAATACTATATCCCTACCCAGTTTATCTTTTAATCCCCTAGCAGATTTTGGAAAGTTAGAGGTAGTTTGATTTTGTTCTATTTCTGCTATGTTTGGGCAGGAATTTGTGTGATGTGCTGTAGATGCACAAACTGCACAAGCTGGAGGCCTGAGGCCTGCAAAGTGCCTGCAGAATAACTCAGTGTCCAGCTTGCTTCAATTAATGCTTAAATTGAACTGAGCCAGAGCTGCAGCCACTTTTGCAGAAAAGGAATGGTGGTAATCGTAAAAAAGCGGTAACACCGTATTTGTGCCATAGGTCCACCATCTTGTGCATGTATGCATCCAGCTCCGCTCTTTTCCCTGGGTATACTGAGCAGTAAACATCCCTATAGATCCCAAAACCTAGTATGAATTCAGGGATGGTCAATTTTTTGTTCAGCCTCGGGTCTCTTGCCCTTAGCACTACTGATATGTCCCCATATGCAAAGGTCCTATTCTCTAGGACATCCTGGGAGGCTATGAGCAATGAAACCAGGTTTACATCCTTGCCTTCCAGAATGTCCTTTTTAAGATGAGATGGGACCATGTGCGAAGGATTAATAGATTCAATAATTGATATAGATTCCAATGAAAAGGAGAGTATGGAAGTAGTATAACCGAATTAGGGTGCTAGAAACATACAGGAATAGCTATGAGAAATAGTACCGATGGAAGGCTGAACATACGAATCAAAAACAAAAAATAATTTATTGAGAAAGAATTATTAAAAATTGCCAGAAAATTGGCAATCACCCAAAGTGTAACACACAAACGAAATAAGGTGTACAAATCCGAAATAAATAATTAAAATGAAGGAAATAGTTTGATAACTAAAGATTTAAAAAGTTCTAAGGTTGCACTCTATTTATTCTCTGTTAAAGCTCACGTCTGTGCTTAATAAGAGTTATGATAGACATAAAGTGTAACAGGGGGAAGGATAGGGTACCCTGGGGTGTAGAGGGTATAGATCCTGTGTATGTATAACAAAAAGGCTTAGTAAGAGGTGTAAGAGCAACAGACTCAATAAATAGGCATGGATGGTAACATATAATAATTCATCAGTAATTGTTGCCAAATTGGTTAAACTGTCCGTTTGCTGTATATTAAGCTGCCAATGAACCTCTGTGTAACACAGATATGTTTAGAACGGAGACATAGCCTGTAAGGTTAAGTGAAAATAGGTATTGCTAAATAGTACACCTAAATGTTATGATCTCTTATCTCACAGACGTGAGCTTTAACAGAGAATAAATAGAGTGCAACCTTAGAACTTTTTAAATCTTTAGTTATCAAGCTATTTCCTTCATTTTAATTATTTATTTCGGATTTGTACACCTTATTTCGTTTGTGTGTTACACTTTGGGTGATTGCCAATTTTCTAGCAATTTTTAATAATTCTTTCTCAATAAATTGTTTTTTGTTTTTGATTCGTATGTTCAGCCTTCCATCGGTACTATTTCTCATAGCTATTCCTGTATGTTTCTAGCACCCTAATTCGGGTATACTACTTCCATACTCTCCTTTTGATTTCACTAGGGGTTACCCCCCTTTTTCTTTAGTATACCAGAGTGAGCTGTATCCAATTTGTTTTTTAGATTACAATGAATTACCAGGCATAATATCAGCAAGAGGGTGACTGGCAACAATTGGATTTGGAGCACCACTTGCTTCCAATTTATCCAGCCTATCGGTAATTGTGCCGTTGGATGAAATAAGAGAAGTCATCATGGCATGAAAAGCTGGAAGCTGGTTCCCACTAGGGCCTTCCCCTGCATCGGAGTTGTCAGTGGTAGTGTTTAAAAGTCTAAACAACTCCGCCTTCCTAGCAGTAGTTCTAAGTTCTGCCGTGAGACGTGGATTGGTCCATGATCTGAGGGACGAAGGACTATTAACATCTGTTCCAGGAACAGGGGTACCAGGCCTAGCGGGCATGCAGGGTAGCGAAAGTTCCTCAGGGATATCAGGAGTATTTGACATAACTGAAAAATATAAGGTAGCTTTAATCAATCACTCTGTAATGAATTGGGTGGGTACTGGTAAGGCTAGCTAAATACCAAGCGGCGAAACAATTATACTTTGTGATAGTGACAGATGAGCCCCTACTAATTGCCAAGTGGCTTGAGAGGCACTACCTATGCGTGGGCCTGAGGGGAAAGTATGAGGCCACCGAACGTTGTGGCGTGGTGTTGGCCTCTCGGTGGCAATTTAAAGCATAAGATAGAATGGGAGTGATAGGTGCAACTATGCGAGACGGCTATCTATGATTTGGCCCGAGGGACGTATTCCTCCGAGTATGAGGATGAGGGTGTTGGCCTCGCGGGACCACTAGCCTATGGATTAAGACCATAAAATATATTCCTAATTGGGCCACATAACCTAGGACCAGTACCACTCTAAATATAAAGTACTGGGATCTGGCGTACTACCTGATATGTGAGACAGGACGATTGTCAATGTAGAAATAAGCAGCGGTTGTAATAATATTGTGGTACGACTTATGGACATAAAAATCAACATATAAGCGTCTGTGCTTATGTTATAAGCTGGCCAGATCGTGGGCCCGAAATCAAATGAACCTACCAGGCACTTATGCCGAGAATAGTAAATAAAGCGAGGATTATGACGATTTCCTAGTGTTTATAAATTACCGTCAGAAGTTCTAGAACCTAAAAGAGTAAATTCACATGTGTAAACTAAATTAACGTGACATTTGGCCCAAAGCTTAAACCTAAATCAAATATCAACCCACCTAGACAGCAACCACAGTTTGACACAAATGTCAGTTATCACAAATTTATAATCCTTAAGTAGGTAATCCTAGATGTGGACCTGTGGAAAAATTACAGGCAATATAAGTTATAACATTCAGATACATTAACTATGTATTACCCCTAAGTGGATTTTTTTATGACTGTAGCATAATATGTAACCAGCAGGGGGGCGGGTATCATAAATTAGGTGAAAATCTGTGCCTATTTGTGCGTTTGGCCGTAATTTACCCAAAGGATAGAATGCATGAACAGCTGAAACATGCGAATGAGTGCATACACTAAGTGTCGTTCGAATACCGAAAAGAAATATACAGAAAAATGCCCGAACGGTCGCGTTAAGAGATACAAAAAAATTAATACCCAAAAGTTTCACAAAGTCTGTTGGTAGAATTAGTGCATGGAAAGTGTTAAAATACCACCATTTGAAATACCATAGGGTATCTACTTTTCAAAAATATACGATTTGATGGGGGTAAATTACATTGGCCAGCTTCAAATATGTCCCAAATAGGACATGGGTGCATGATGATCAGCTGTGAAAACTGGAATGCGCGCCCTCCAAATAAGATCTTTTAGCCCCCAGGGAACCTGACACACCTATACATGGGTGGTATAACTGTACTCAGGAGATGCTGCTGAACACATATTGGGGTATTCTTTGGCAGTAACCCTTAATGTTCTCCACACATGTATTCTTTTTTTTCCCCCAACATCAGAAAGGTATTTATCCCATAAGATTGTGCAATTGTCTCTTAATAATAAAATAAATACCAATTCATCATATGTTATTATATATAATGGAGTCTCTGTTTGTGACCAAGTGGCTACTAAAAATGACTGGACATACCCCATTTACAATACCTTGGGTTGTCTACTTTTGCAAATGGTATGCCATCATGGGGGTAATTCTCATTCCTGGGGTACCATACGGTCTCAAAGGCAATGTAACCAATCTGGCGAATTTCAATGTGAAAAAACTGAAAAATGTAACATGCTATATTTGACCGAGTAACTTCCCAAAACATCATAAAACCTGCACTTAGGGGGTACTGTTTTACACGTGAGACATCGCTGAATACAAATATGTGTATTTTATTGTAGTAAAATCAAACAGTATTCTGACATTCACAGTTAGAATGTCACGTAGAACTAAACATTTTTCAAAAATTCTTATTTTCTCCAATTTTTTCATATTTTATTCATATTAAATTATGTTGTGTACCAAAATATTTGATGTTAAATGAAAGCCCTGTTTCCCCTGAATAAAATGATATATAATAAGTGTGGGTGCACATTATATGAAAGAGGTGAATTACGCCTGAACAGACATATAGCGCAAATTCAAGTTTTTGTTTTGATCATAACGTGTACATTTGGCTCAGTCCTTAAGGGGTTAATGGGTTAACACTTAAAAGCCACTGGAGGTGTGTCTAACCCTACCATGTAACATTGCCATATTTTCCAAAAGGTATTCTGATGAGTGGGGATTTACATGCAATAGCACTTTACTGTGGATTCAGTTTGTTTTAGAAACGCAACAGGATTTGCCAAATTGTTGGGCTAGAGTTTGATTCCCAAGTTTCTGTAAGATAAATACTTCATGTATTGTTTCCTGTATATGCAATTATGTTTAGTGGTAGTCCTTATTAGTGGCATTCTTTAGTGCACTTATTTTACAGATAATACATCTAACTTGCAACATGACAGCTTATTTCATAAACAGTGCTATTGGGCACAGCTATAGGTCAGGTGGTTTGTACTTCAATTGTCAGCTTTTAACAGCTGATCTCAAATTCCCAGATACCTTAGTCATGACATCTCGCAGCAGTATTTTTAGAACAAAATATTGCAGGTTGGGAGGAGGAGGGTGCAAAAATAAATAAATAAATACATATATTTATTTTTTTAAATAAAAAGTTAAAGCACTGTGACCAA